AATCGAGGAAGGCCTTCAGTAGACTTAATTTCAGTTGCTCAATCACAGTCATCAGACACGTTTAAAGCATCACGATTCGAATGTGCAATTACAATTCGTCTTCTTTTATGAGATTCAATACAGCAAAAGTGTGAAGCACAGAATATTTACTTTATATTCTAAAACGTTTTACTGTACAGTAAAGTTTGTATTTCTTAGGTTTGACCGATAGCCGCTTCCTTGAGATGGTCGTCGGGCCTTTATATCACAATGACCCAGTGAAATATGTTGATGAGACGTTTATTCCACCAAAGTCCTACTCCATACTAGAAAGACCAGTTGAATAGTGGTAAGACAAAAAGCAGTTACTTTTACAGTACAAACTGCTACGCTATGATGACAGTCCGAGGGCGAAGTTGTACTGTTGACTGGATGGAAGGGATAGAGACAAGGTGTTTCTTGTGAATGACCAGCATTGCCATGATAGTAAAAAATATAATGGACAGAAAGGACACAGCTATATTTCCAGTCGTTTGTGTTATACTGTCCGACAAAATTCCCCAGATCCTCAAAAGTAGCTCTAAACCCCTGAAACCTATACCAATCAACTGTATTGCTTCAAAGTATCAAGAAAAAGTCCGTGAATTTACTTGCCAATATCAGATTGGTTGAAGATATATGAATCAGTAAGAAGTACCATTCTCGAAGGGGTTTGAAATAGTCAAGGCCATAGTAAGTATACATAAACCATTGTATTTTGTGCATATTTTGACGTTTCTAAACACTCTCTGTAATCTTACCACCTTTTCTATTCATTGAAGAATTGAGGGTTGAATATGAAGGTTATAGTTCAAGTGTTCACCCTCAGATAGGTAATAAACAAGGTTACATCAGTTTGTTAGACAAGGCTGTCTACCATCACCCATGATCTTCCTGATTGTGGTCAAATGGATCATGCTGCAAACAGTAAGGAACGACAAGATGGGAACACGCTAGACCGATAAAAAGATCCTGAAGAGTCGGATTTCGCCGATGACTTGTGTTTACCTGTCGCACAAACTCGAAGATCTGCAGACAAAAACTAACAAATTGATAGAAGAGGCAGGGCATCGAAGACGAGAATTCAAGTGAACGTAGAGAAGACAGAGGTGATGATGATACCCAACCAACACCACCACCACCAACAAGCTCCAATCAACATCAATGGGAGAAATTTAAAGAAAGTAGCCTCTTTCACCTATCTAGGCAGCACTGTTTCAACCACAGGTGGTGGCACACACAAGGACGTCAAAGCCAGTCAGGATCGGAAAGATAGCAAGACAGGCGTTCATTAACTCGAAATCAGTGTGGAGATCTTCTCCACTCATCACAAAGAACAAGATACGGATTTTCAACACCAGTGTCAAGTCAGTACTTCTACGTGATGATTGAGAGACTTGGAGCGTCACGAAAACCATTTCCAACAAACTACAGACACTCACCAACAACTGCCTACGCTCACTTCATACTGAAGATTAGATGGCCAAAATAATAATAATAATAATAATAAGCAACAAGGAACTCTCACTGGCAACCAACCAACCAACCAAGAACCTATCACTCAACAAATATGCAGAAGGAAGTGGAGATGGATTGGGCATGCAATGAGAAGACCATTCGAGGACATCACGAGCCAGGCCAGTCACTCGAGTGGAACCCACATGAGAAACGATGAGTTGGGTGTCCGAGGTTATGGTGACATGGAGGAGAAGGTGTGAGGAAGAAATGAGAGCTTGTGGGCTGTCGTGGAGCCAGGTTGAAAAGATTGTAGAGAACATAGTGGGATGGAGACGTGCTACAGAAGCCCTATGTTCCACTAGGAACCCGAAGGATAAATAATAATAATAATAATAATAATAATAATAATAATAATAATATATCAGTTTATTACTCAGATACATGTTGGCCCTACCATATAAATTAGTATATACAACTGTATGGTTCGTTTACATGTAATAATAATTTTTTCTCAATATCCATTTCAATAGCTAATAGAATATATAAAAAGCTGTAATTATAGCTTTCCTGGAAATTAAAGCCTAAAACAATATCGATCGCTTTCATTCTGAATGAACTTCAAATGCGCTCATTGTTCACTATTACTTGTAATTTTCTTTTCCTATACAGGGTTGAATTGCTCGACCTCTGTTGACAGATGAGCTCCTATACGTGGATACATTAATACTTCCTGAATATTCATCATATTGTAGTATTGATAAACAATAAATGATATCCATTGCACAAGAAGTCGCTCTTTTGCCTAACTGGTTCAGTGGAGGATAACGTTTTGGCATTTGAAGTGATGGTTACCAGGTTCCAGTCTCGATGGGAATAACATAAGTCACTGAGGTGCAGGTTCATCCCGCCTGAGAAGTGAGTCCTAAATAGGACGAAGCAGCCGTCCTGGATTCCCCTATTAGGCATCAATTAGACTACAATGCTCAGATGAGCTTAGTTTGTATGGTAACTCAAATTATGTAGCATGATATTTGAATGAGAAAGATGACAGTCGAATGTAAATTAAACTTGGAGTAGGATTGCCAATTAAATTGACAATATGAAGGAACTCGAAGCTTTGACTGCCTGACTGATTTACTTTAACCGGTAGGTAGATCTTTATGAAATGCTGATTTTCTCGAGACTGACATAATTTGAATAGCCATTGGAAACCTTAGAGCTCCGACAGCTGTTTCGTCTCACTGCGGGACTCCTCAGCGGTATATACTCAAGATCACGTCAGAGACCAAGCCCAGGACCTTCAGGTTCCATTGATCCACTGGGTCAGAATCCAATGCTTCATATTTCTTAACTTTTGTCAGTCTGCAATATAACGTAACATTATCGCTGAGTCACTGGGTCGGAACCAATGGTAAGGTGCTTGCTGGTGAAATTGAAGTTCCTCGGCTCGATCCTTAGTGTGGTCACGAATGTGCACTGTTGAAGAACCCTGTTCAAGATCGAAACAGTTGTCTAGTGCTTCCAGGTTTTCAGTGGTTGTCCAACTGATGTCAGTCGCTGATAATTACCGAAGTGAAATCAATAAATTCTTACTAACCTTAAAAATTGTATATATAATAAGACATTGGTGGGCGTAGTACCGCTAGAATCGCCTATTTGAGCTGCAACATTTTAAAATATAATCCATATATTTTAATGTTAAACGATGGAAAAAAATAATTAAGTCATACTTGAAGTGGAATGAGTCAAAAACATCCTATCTACACTTTAAGGCATTCACACCACACAGCTGCAAAGGAAAATATTTCATTACATTTCTATCCGAGTTATTTATATCTACTCTTCCCCTTTACAGAAGTATACAAGAATAATGTACATAGTTCTCAGAGAACTGGTAAATAATTACTATTACTGTTTATCGTTTGGGTTCCTAGTGGTACATAGGGATTCAATAACACGTCACTATCAGTTCGGGCGCCCAACTCATCGTTTCCCATTTGGCTTCCACTCGAGGGCATAGCCTGGAGCGTGCTGAGTGCAGTAGATCTCTACACTGGTTTCAGGTTAATGAACGCCTGTCTTGCTATCTTTCCGATCCTGGCTTTGATGTCTTCATCTGTGCCTGTGCCGCCGCCTGTAGTTGAAACGATGCTGCCTTGCCTAGGTAAGTGAAAGAGGCTACTTCCTCTAGGTTGCTCCCGTTGATGGTGATTGATGCTTGTTGTTGGTGGTGTTGGTGTTGGTTGGGTATCATCATCAACCCTGTCTTCTCTACATTCACTTGAAGTCCCGCCTTCGCTGCACTGCCTCTTCTGTCAGCTTGTTAGTTTTTGTCTGTAGATCTTTGAATTTGTGCAACACTACATTAGACATAAATCGTCAGCGAAATCCAAACCTTATAGGCTCTTTTTATCGGTCTAGCGTATGCCCATCTTCCTGCTCGTCCCAGTTTGTTGCATAATCCAGTCCAGTATTGATAATCCGGATCTTGTTCACGCTTTATGCTGAGTGCATTGCAGAATATCTTCACACTGATTATTTCAGATTAATACAGGAAGGCCTGTCTTGCTGTCTTTCCAATCCTGGCTTTGATGTCGTCATCTTTTTCGCCACCGCCCACCTGCAGTTGGAACGATGCTGCCTTGCCTAGGTAGGTGAAAGAAACTACTTCCTTTAGGTTTCTCCCGCTCATGGTGATTGGTGCTTGTTGTTGTTGGTTGGTTGGGTATTTTCACCTGTCACCTCTGTCTTTTGTACGTTCACCTGAAGGAAGTCCTGTCTTCCTTCTCTGCCTCGCCTTTTCTATCAACTTGTTGGTTTTTGCCTGTTGATCTTCGAGTTTGTGTGACAGGCAGGACATGAGACATAAATCGTCATCTAGGAAATCCAAATCTTCTTGTGGGGTCTTTTCGTCGGTCCAGTTATAGTATATTTATCTCTTCGCTCCTCACAGCTGTCTGCTGCATGATCCAGTCCAGTCCAGTAGACCACAATCAGGAAGATGGTCAGTGGTAGTCGGTGGCAGCCTTGTCTTACTCCTTCCTGTCTTCACTTCAAAGTCGTCACTGAGCAGCTTTCCATTGTGAATCACTTGGCATGTGACAGGCGTCGTCATATAGCATATAGGTGCTGTTGAATGAGGTTGATAAAGGTTTGTGGCACTAAAACCGTAGTGTTGAAGCAGTTGCCAAACTACTTTTCGTTCGACACTATCGAAGGCCTTTTCAAAGCCGATGAAGTTGAGGTAGAGAGTTGACTGTCAACTGGTAGACAACGGCCACATGAATTATTTTAAATATTTCCAATGAAGATCGTTTCAAGAAGAACAATGAATTGTCGGACTAATCAAAGTTCAGCATAATTTATTCATTCAAAAGCTAAAATTTTAACTCATCTTCAAATTTGAAATCGAATCCTTTGTTACTGAATTTTAACAAAGTTCTGGATTCAATGTTAAAAACTAGAGAAAACAATACTTGAAGAAACCAAAAGAAAACAAACAGAGAAAATAGTGTTTTTCTTACAGGAACATTAGCACTGATTGCTGCCTGTCTAGCTTCCACTTTATCACCCATACGTTTGACAACTTTGGCCGATGGTCCAATGAATATAATCCCAGCATCAGCACATGCTTGTGCAAATTCAGATCTTTCACTGAGAAATCCATAACCAGGGTGAATAGCTTCAACATTATGTTTCTAATAATTAGTAAATAAAATAAATAAATAATGAATAAATAAATGATGAATTAAGTTTGTAATTTCAGTAGTGATAATAAGATGTCATGAATTTTAACAAACTTTGATTACAATAAAGGTATAAATAGACCGGTGGCTCTACCGTTTACATACTCGACTTTCAACCAATTAGTTATGGGATTGAACCCCACTCCAGCCATTAAGGTTTACGTACCCAGGTAGTATCGTTAACCTTCATAAAATATATGGCTCATTGTTTACTGTCTCGAAGTGCATGTATGTGATAAAAACAGAAAACTAGCTAATTGGATGTCTACCAGTCACACTGAACCCTGGTAAATTTACCAGCTATTTTAATACACATAAAAACTGAATAAAATTCAATCTTCAGGTAAGCATCCCATTTCTAGCAAGATAGGGGAATATTTGTTAAGCCTGACAGACAGAGAAACAGACGGATTCAATGTAGAACCACACACATACACACACACACAAGTTGCCATGCTTCATCGAAGTATACAAAGAACAGGTGGATAGAATAAGATACACACACAAGTAAACAAAGTTGCGTGAAAGAATAAACAGTATGAGGGTCATGGTTAGTACAAATATTCCCGCTTAAAAAGAGGTCACAGTATCAATACAACTGCGCCATCGTGACCGATTTTGAGTCATGTAATTAAGACTCCTCAACCACTGATTCCTGTCGTCTCAAAGACTCCAGTCGCGTAGTATCCATTTCCCCACATGCCTAAAGCCAACAGTCAGGGACTTCATCGACTGGTACCACGTCTTGGTCTGGTCACCTTGAACCCTATTGCAACCTAATTCAACCTTCCCTAGCATGGCATGTGGAAAAAGGCGGTGACTCAGCATATGTAACACAAGTAGGAGCCACCTCCACCAGTGAGGCCAACTTCACCAACAGATTTGCCTGTCTTTCCTAGTACCCTCGCCTGACCTCAACATCGCTCACACGTTGCTCCCACCCAACCAGTTCACATTTTCTACTTTCAATGGCTATATCTCACAGACTTATAACAGGATGGAACGAATTATAGCACAGTATACTCCTCTTTCCACCACCAACAACAAGCTCCAGTCAACATCAATGGGAGAAATTTAAAGAAAGTAGCCTCTTTCACCTATCTAGGCAGCACTGTTTCAACCACAGGTGGTGGCACACACAAGGACGTCAAAGCCAGTCAGGATCGGAAAGATAGCAAGACAGGCGTTCATTAACTCGAAATCAGTGTGGAGATCTTCTCCACTCATCACAAAGAACAAGATACGGATTTTCAACACCAGTGTCAAGTCAGTACTTCTAAGTGATGATTGAGAGATTTGGAGCGTCACGAAAACCATTTCCAACAAACTACAGACACTCATCAACAACTGCCTACGCTCACTCGATACTGAAGATCAGATGGCCAAAATAATAATAATAATAGGCAACAAGGAACTCTGGCTGGTGAGGAACCAACCAAGAACCTATCACTCAACAAATATGCACAAGGAAGTGGAGATGGATTGGGTATGCAATGAGAAGACCATTCGAGGACATCACGTGCAAGGCCAGTCACTCGAGTGGAACCCACATGGGAAGTGACGAGTTGGGTGTCTGAGGTTATGGTGACATGGAGGAGAAGGTGTGAGGAAGAAATGAGAGCTTGTGGGTTGTCGTGGAGCCAGGTTGAAAAGATTGTAGAGAACATAGTGGGATGGAGACGTGCCACTGAAGCCTTATGTTTCGCTAGGAACCCAAGGGACGAATAATAATAATAATAAATACTCCTCTTTTGATAGATGGTCAGATACCTCACCATTTGGCATCACAGTTGGCAAATGACAAACAAACCTCCTTTATTCTAGCTGAGGTTCCGTCAACAACCAGCTCGTTCGACCTGATGCAACTCCACAAGTAAATGAGAGGGTCAACATATTCCACCAATTCACCCTCTACCTACAGACTTTATATAACCAGGTAGTGTCAAAACCGTCACACCATAAGTGAGACTATTAGCGTAGACAAAGAATCACAACAACCTCCACTAACTATCATCTAATTATCATTAGTTTCTCAAAGTTCTCAAAGTCAGGTAGCAGAGAATGATCAAGATGTTCAATGAGATCAACTGAAACAACTTGAGGGGTTCTACTATTACTCTTTGCTACGCTTTCTCGTATGATGCGCTGATATGAAGGCTGTGACAGCTTGCACCATCAGGCAGTAATACCTGGTCCTATGATGGTCTTATCTGCCTGTTAAACTACCACCTTCAAAATGCAACTCAACAACGCTTTTCCATACAAACTTCCTGGAGGCTTACCAACGGTGTAGACGTTTGTTTCTCAATCGTTCAATTCGGAAGTTTTCTTAAAGATTAATAGATTTCAAGATGACATTCATCACGGACTGACATCAGTTGAATAACTATTGAAAACCTGAGAACACTGAACAGTTGTTTCATCCCAGTATGCGCCTCCTCAACAGTACACACCCATGTCTATTGAAGTTTAACCAAATGGCTGGATGGTAATGCGCTAGCCGTGAGACCTAACCCCTGACGGGTGTGTATGTATTACTGAAAAATCTCATACTGGGACAAAGTAGCTGTCTATTGCTTTCAGGCTTCCAATGGTTGTTCAACTGCTTTCAGTTCATGATGAAATATTAGATCATTAATTCTCACCTTCAATCATTATGCAGTATCAATACCGGTCTGCCAAACCACGGCTATCTCAAATGGTCAAAATGATTATTCAGTTATCAGTTTAATAATATCTATCTATATTTTTATAAATTTCGTTCTTTTCCAGAGAATGTTAATCATATAAACTAATCAATAATTGGCTGATCTCAAATTGCTTTATCAATATTACAATTAAATCGATTCACTAATGATGACTAGATACGCTTAAATCACGTGAATGATTATTATCATCATTGCCATAGTGAAAACTATACATATAATCCATTTCTGTTCTAGTATTGTTGTTGCTGTTTTCGTTGATTACCGTTGACAGCTATGGCTGACAATTGCAGATGGTATACTCCTGTTAGATGAAGACAATGACAAGATACAGAATCTTCTGGATACCATCAGTGGCAATTTAAAAATTGCTGCTTCATGATTGGTCTTCAGTGATGCCCCGGTTAACAATAGTGAATGAAGTGGTCGATTACGTTGGCTAGTTCCCTTGCTTGAGAAACCGAGCCAGCCTTGGTCAGTCAGTCGCTGAAGACATCTGCACGGATACATTGTCTGTCGTGCTGCCGCTATATCTGACTGCCTATTAAGATTGTAGTATAGTGTGTTGCAGTTTGCTCTGTTCTACTGTGTAACTGTGAAATGTGGCCATTAAAGGTAGAAGACATGAGAAGACTTCAGACGTTTGACCACCGTTACCTAGTTAGCATACGCAGTAGGTGTCACTATGCGGGTAACCCAGAAGTTAGGTGTAGAGTGTTAGGGGAGAGAGAAATGTTAGATGGCTTGGACATATGTTACGCACACCCTGTCACCGTCTGCCTCACCTCCCAATGTTAACTGAAGTAGGTGCAGGCTTGAAAAAGGCTCGAAGAGGACAGACTGAAACACGGGATCACTGGATGAAGTCGTTGACTGTTCGTTTAAGCCATGCAGGGAGATGTAGACAAGCCGGTTGAGGTACACAATAGAAACCAGGGGTTGGTGACTCTATATAATATGGTTCAGAATCGATGTCAATGACGCAGATGTGTCCACCGGTATACTGAAATCAGTATTATCTCATTCTTCCTTCCTCTCTTTTACTGCTTTTGATCAACTTTATTTCCTTCTTGATCCCTCATCCTAATGCTTTATTACTTGTTGTGCTGATATGAGGTGTAGCAACTTCGACTGTTATACAGTAGTGCTTTGGTCCTACGTTGATATTGATTGATTTGACAATTGGTTACAATCAGCACAGAAGTATTCACTCTTTGACATCTGTTAAAGCTTGAATATCTCCAGTAACCTTCGTTTTTCAAATTCTTTATTCCCACCATACACTTTTATCTACTTTGATATCACTCTTTGTCAAAACCATTTGTTCTTTGCCTTTTTCAGTGAAGTGTGATAACTGGAATCGACGCACTTGTGTGCAAGGTCTCATGTTGATTTTGTATGCATGATGGACGTGTTGGTTCCCGTTCTTCCATTATTTGGTTAGCTAGGAGATACAGAACCAACTAGTTGAGGTAACTGACGCTTATATGAGTGTCAAATTCAGTTCATAACACCAATTGGCTTGATTTAGGACTGGTTTATGCCTTAAATGCAGTCAAAAATATATTCCATCCCGTAACAATACATCTCACTTGGTCACAACATAAGGTAACATTTTGCAGCGTACCATATGTTCAACATCATTCATTAAGGATAACCGCCTCCCCCTTGTCATATCTCATACCACTCAGCACATCTAAGGAGAAGGCGACAAGATAAACGAAATAAGAAAGGAAGTAGTTAAAAGTGGTGAAAAGTTGTGAAAAGAGAACAAGAAGGAATGAGATACTACGTCGATTAAAACGAGGACAATGCGTGTATAAATCCGTGCCATTGCAATCAATTCTCAGCCAGATCACCAATGCGCCTAAGTTCAACTATCAAGTACGTTGACGACACACCTTTGTTGTTTTTAACGATATGAAACATGCAATTGAGTTGTTTGAATAGCTCAATAAGGTTCATCCTAACATTAAATTTACGAGGGAACATAAGCATGAAAACAAGCTCACCTTTCTGAACCTCACTGGGAAAAGGAGAATCAATGGTATGATTGGAAAAAAAGTTCATCCATAGAAAAGATACATGGATCGGGCAATACCTTGACTATAACAGTTTCTCTCCTACCAGCTATAAGCGTCGGCTAATCAAAACACTTTATAACAGAGTTAGAAAATTATGTTCTGAGAGAAAGTTCGAGGAAGAACTCAAATTTATTGAGAAGTATCTCCAAGAGAATAGATATCCTCAGAGATTTCTAATGAAGTATAACAAGAGAAGAGATCGAGAGAAATAAACATCCAAATGTGGAAAAGAAAAAGGTTTTTATGCACCTCACATTCAAGAGAGATGCAAGAACCAAGAGAGTAGACACAAGAATCAAAGAAGCACTGAGATAGAGCTTTCCTGCAGTTAAAACTGTATCAGTATACAATACCATATGCTAACTAAACCTGTGGAAAGCGGATAATTACCCTTCTCATGCCACCTTCAACTGTATTTATGAATTCACATGAACTTGCGGCACCGAGTAGATAGGATGAACTGAGAGGAAGGCATCCATTCGGTTGACTGGACGTATTCCTAAGAATCTGTGCTTGACAGAAAGTAGAATTCTAACCACTGAAATTGCCACACACACCTCGTAGACACAGAACATCAGGTTGATATGTCGAATGCTTTTAAAATAGTAATTAATGTCCAGAAAATGTCTGAATTACTGCGTTTTGTGGAAGTGATTTCAATCTGATTCTTTGTATACAGAAGAAAAGTGTGGTTAATCTCTCACTACCTTAGTGACTGTAATTTAATCCTATTTCTCTTTGATTTCAATGACATAACTTTTCATTCATCTAGAGGTAGTATTCATTATGGATCGAAAAAGCAAGACAGGCTTTCATCAACCTGAAACCAGTGTGGAGATCTACTGCACTCATCACAAAGAACAAGATACGGATTTTCAACACCAGTGTCAAGTCAGTACTTCTAAGTGATGATTGAGAGATTTGGAGCGTCACGAAAACCATTTCCAACAAACTACAGACACTCATCAACAACTGCCTACGCTCACTCGATACTGAAGATCAGATGGCCAAAATAATAATAATAATAGGCAACAAGGAACTCTGGCTGGTGAGGAACCAACCAAGAACCTATCACTCAACAAATATGCACAAGGAAGTGGAGATGGATTGGGCATGCAATGAGAAGACTATTCGAGGACATCACGAGCCAGGCCAGTCACTCGAGTGGAACCCACATGAGAAACGACGAGTTGGGTGTCCGAGGTTATGGTGACATGGAGGAGATGGTGTGAGGAAGAAATGAGAGCTTGTGGGTTGTCGTGGAGCCAGGTTGAAAAGATTGTAGAGAACACAGTGGGATGGAGACGTGCTACAGAAGCCCTATGTTCTATTAGGAAACCAAGGGACAAATAATAATATAAATAATAAAATTCATTATGGGCTAACATCATTTTAGGAACCATTGAAAATCTGGGAGCACTGGATAGCTGTAGAGAAATTTAATTGGTTATCTCAACAGGTAGGGTTAGAATAGCCATTTAGAATATTTTACGTATTAAATTAGAGTGATTTTGAAAGCCAACTTGGTAATTGAAGAGATAGCCAATTAAATTTTTCTATTTCATGGAAAAGTACTCTCCTAGGTGAAATATTAAAAGCCTGATTGGTGTATTCAGTAGTAGCTAGGGTGGCCTTTAAAGTCACCTTTAAATTATTAAAAATTCCCATCATAATTCAAAAGCTATACGAGTGAACAAAGAATATTCTTTTCGATAACTTTTTCTCCTTCTTCAGATCCTACAGTTATACGTACATATTGAGGAATTACACGTCAGCAACCTAGGTTATCATACAGTTAAAGAGATCAATTCAGAAAAGTTGTATGTGAACGCTTCTCAGAGAATCCATTATTACTAGGATTCAATTGGAAATAACTGATTATCTAAATGACTACAATATTGGATTAGATTATCCGAGGTAGGATGCTAACGAATTTGTGCCTCCCGAATCTGGCTCAAGGTAGTTGTAGAGACAAAACGTGCTCTACTTGAACATACAACTCAGGTTTTTTGATCCTGATTGCTACTGTTTTTGCGGTTTGAAGGATTCTTAGCTGAGTACCTTTTGGCAAATTAATGAGAATAGGGAGCAGAAAGAAAAATAGCTCATTCAAATCGACTCTATGGTTCGTTTCAACCAGATGTGCGAATATAGAGCTAGTGATAGTCTTAGCAACATTAGGAGGTATTCGTGAGCATGGAAAAGGAAATTCCTAGAGCAGCAATCGACATAACTGTCCTTCAACTTAGAAGGTCATCTGAAGTATCCAACGTTATCTTCATTATGCATAAATGAACGTCCTTCTGTGAGATAAGTTGATCAATTGCAGCACCCAGCATAAAGGATTAAGACAGAAAAGTAAATCTCTAACTAGTCAGTAGAAATTAACACTATCCTTAAGTCACTCTTGATAAAAATATAACTCAACTTCAGTATGCGCGGTAAATAGAATCCTGCTGGTAGGCATCTTGTCCCAAGTGAATAACTTTAAGTTTAAATTTGAGTGCTCAGGTTCGAGTCTCAGTAGGAACAACACTCACTAAAGTACACGTATATGCAGCTGATGAGTCCTTAATAGAACGAAATGTGTGTGCTGAATTCCACTGCTAGTAACCAAGATGAATACAACTTTAAACTTCAGTATCTACTTCATCATTTTCATCAGGATTTTATGCTTCATTTGCACAAAAAACTGAATTCAATTTCTATCAGACTCCTGTGTTATACAAGAAGGGAGTAAGCTATGCTATTTAGGCTGTTATTCCTTATGATAATTTACTTGGTTGTAGGTAGCAGTGGAATACAGGGTGAACGCTTCGTCCTGTTTGAGACATGACAGCTGGATGTACCTGCTTCCCAGTGAGTGATGCGGTCCCAACTGAGACTCGAGTCGGATCAATTCAAATACCAAGGCGTTATCCATTAGGCCACCAAGTCACAATGACCACTCCTTTTGCGATGGGTATAGTTGTTTGTACTATCATATCGTCTCATCATTATCATCATCATTAACAACATAGGACCAGGTATTATTGCGTAACGGTCCGAGTTGCCACAGCTCAGTACAGTACATCAAGTAGAAAGGTAGTGAGGTGAAGGATGAAGATAAGAGAATGCAGTCAAAAGAAATATAAAGTATGAGAAGAAAGAAAGGAAGAATGACAAAATGGTGAGATTCGATATAGCGCCGTTAAGATGATGATAATGTGTGTGTGTGTGTGTGTGTGTGTGTGTACATCTGCGCCACTCGGTTCTGAGCCATATCACCTAGAGTCTCCAGCCACTAGTTCCTCTTGTCCCGCGGACCCCAACCACGAAGTCTACATCATCCTATATGGTTCAAACCAACAGTCAGAGACTTCATGCATTGGTGCCATGTTTTAGTCTGGTCACCTCGAGCCTTTTTCCAGCCTGGGCCTACTTTGGCCAACATTGTGTGACGAGGCAATCGGTGACTAGGCATACGTAGTACATGTCCCAACCATCTCAATCGTCTACAACTTTATGTAAATATTGCTTTCAATGCAAGTGACGGCGTCTAGATGAAAACTTTAGCGTTTTTTAAAATTATCACGTAAAATTTCAGTGTTAACAAAAAATCAGTTTAGATTATAAGGATTAATTACGCTGATTATTAAACTTACTTGGGCTAATTGAATAATTTCAGGTATGTTTAGATAAGCAGCTACAGGTGGTAGACTCTTACCAATTAGATAGGATTCATCAGCTTTTTGACGATGCATTTGCATTTTATCTTGTTCACTGTAGATAGCCACTGTTCGAATATTCATTTCAGTACATGCTCGAAAGATACGAATTGCAATTTCACCTAGAAAAGGAGAAAAGAGAAGTAGGATTCAGGTAAAAACACAAATGGTGGAGGGACGAGTTCTGAACAAACAATAAATGGTGAAAGTATCTTACAATGATTATTTCACCATTAACCAGTTTTTCGATACTGAAAGCCGCTACTCAGCAAATTTGTGCAAATTCGTGCAGTAAGCAGTGAGCCACATCTATTGTGTGAAGGCTAATGAGACTAATTGCATGAGCAAATCTAGATTGGTGGAGCGGTATTCGAACCCATGACTTACTGTTAGAAAAAGCCAACCCTCTAAATCAATGAACCACCAGTTCATGATACAATCTTGACTAATCTTTCGATGTGAGGTGAAATATCTTCACAGACAGCTTGGTGAAATGTAGAAACTGAGGCAAAAACAAATTTCTTGAGATAATTGACGTTGATTAACAGAAGTCTCCTGGATGTAATTTTTACCTCACAATGGCTGGATTCTAGAGTTAACACACTAAACTCGAAGGAAGCACAATAAACACCACCACAAAGACGAAGGTATTATTATTATTATTTGTCCTTTGGGTTCCTAGTGGAATGTAGGGATTCAGTAGTACGTCGCCATTTCACTCTCTTCTATGCAGTCTTGTCAACCTGGCTCCACCATTGCCAACATCATCATCATCATCATTAAGAACATAGGACCAGGCATTACTGCGTAACGGTCCGAGTTGCCACACCTCACGTCAGTTCATCAAGTAGAAAGGTAGTGAGGTGAAGGATGAAGATAAGTGAATGCATTCAAAAGAAATATAAAGTACGAGAAGGAAGGAAAGAGGAGTGAAAAAATGGTGAGATTCGGCATAGTGTTGTTAAGATGAGGATAATGTGTGTATATATCTGCGCCACTGACTTCGGTTCTGAGCCATATCACCTAGGGTCTCCAACCACTGGTTCCTCTTGTCCCGCCAACCCCAACCACCTAGTCTGCATCGTCCTACATGGCTTAAACCAACAGTCAGAGACTTCATACATTGGTGCCATGTTTTAGTCTGGCCACCTCGGGCCTTTTTCCAGCCTGCACCCACCTCAGCCAACATTGTGTGACGAGGCAATCGGTGACTAGGCATACGTAGTACGTGTCCCAACCATCTCAGTCGATGAAGGTTCACAACCTCGTCAACTGACTTACCTCTTCTCCCCAAAACTCTACACCTAACTTCTGCATTACTCACATGGTGACACCACGGAATACGTCCTATACTACGAAGGCAACGGTGGTCAAACACCTGAAGCCTTTTTGTATCTTCCACTTTCAATGGCCATGTTTCACAGCCATACAGTAGAACAGAGCGGACTGCTGTGCAGTACACGCGACCCTTAATAGACAAACGAATATCACGGCGGCGCCATAGGTGGCGCAAATTGGCAAAAGCCAATCGAGCCTTTTGTATCCGTGCAGAAATCTCATCGGCAACTAACCCACCGGGTTGATCCTACTTCCCAGGTAAGTGAAGTGGTCAACACACTCAACCACTTCACTCTCTATTGTTAACCGCGGTACCGCTGAAGACCAGTCCTGGAGCAAAAATTTGCATTTGGGTGGTGAAAATCGCATCCCAAACATTCTCAAATTCCCACTCAAAGTGTTCAGAAGACTCTGCATCTTGTCAGCGTCTTCACCTAACAGGACTATGTCATCTGCATATTCTAGATCTAAAGAAAATTCACCTGTGATTGGGTCAACGTTTTTGTAATTAGGTGACGAGAGGGAAACCTCCATAAGAATATCTATGATAAAATTAAATAAGAATGGGGATAGTGGGCATCCTTGACGGACACCACTTGATGAGTATAGCTCCCTGGACAACTCGCCATAGGCTCTAACATGCCCACAAGTGTTCGAGTAGAGAGCTTTCAATAAGGTGATGTACTTACTAGGCACGCCTTTCAGTGACAGACATTGCCATAAGACTTCTCGATCAACGGAGTCAAATGCCGCCTTCAGGTCGAGAAATACAGCTATTGTCGGGCGTCTGTAAGCATGCCTATGTTCCAGGACCTGGCGCAGTGTGAATATTTGGTCGATACATCCACGGCCAGGTCTAAAGCCTGCCTGGTTTTCTCGGGCTTGCTGTTCCCGAGCTCCACTCAGGCGTCGGAGAATTATAGAACTTAGGATTTTGGATACTATGTTCGTCAGGCTGATTCCTCTGTGGTTATCACAAGAGGACTTCTCGCCTTTCTTGAAGACTGGGATAATGAGTGACTTAGACCAGTCGGAGGGGATCGTATTTGATTCCCATATACTAGCTAACACTTCCGTTAACCTGACTAAGAGCACTCTACCACCATTCTTGTATACCTGAGCAGGTAGTCCGTCTGGTCCTGCTGCCCTTCCTCGTTTCAGGTTACCTACCAATTTCTCAACTTCTTCTGGTGTTGGGGGGCCTGTCTCTGTCCCATTCAGGATCCGATTGGATAACGGGCAACGCAATCGTGGCTGTTCCTCGAAGTGTTCTGCCCATCGTTCCAGTCGTCTCCTCTGCGAGTTGATCGCAGATCCATCCTTCTCCGCTATAACCTCACTAACTGTTGTTGATCTTTTCCCCCCAGTCTCCTTAATACGTCTAAATAACTGTCTACTGCCAACAACATTTCATTTCTTCCCCACACGATCTCCTCTATGTCACCCTCGGTTTGGATGCCCAACACGTCGTTTCCCGTTCGCCTTTCACTCGACGGCCTGACCTGGTGCGTGATGTTCCCAAATGGTCTTCTCAGTGTATGTCTAATCAAATCCATCTCCACTTTCTTCTGTATATTCGTTGGACGATAAGTTGTTGTTTGGTTGGTTGCCAACCAGAGTTCCTTGTTGCTTATTCTTACTATTTTGGCCATCTGATCTGCAGTGTCAGTATCGAGTGAGCGTAGGCGACAGCTGTTGATGATGTATGTCTGTTTGTTGGAAATGCTGTTCGTAGCGCACCAAGTCTCCCAACCATCATATGGAAGCACTGACTTATTAGACTGACATTAGTTTTGAAACTCCGGATCTTGTTCACGCTTTATGCTGAGTGGAGTGCAGTGCGGTCGATCTCCACACTGATTATTTCAGATTAATGCAGAAAGGTCTGTCTCAGTGTCTTTCCGATCCTAGTTGCTTTGACATTCTCATCTGTGCCACCTTTTGTAGTTGGAACTGATTCCAAATTGGTATTCATGACGGACAGATATCATTTGGAGACCTGAAAGTCGTGGGTTCAGTCCCTGGTGATGTCATGGGTGCGTACCACTGAGGAGTCCCATATTAGGACGAAAAAACTGTACGGTGCTCCCAGGTTTTCAATGGTTGTTCGACTGATATCAGTCCATGATGAATACCAACTTAGTACTATTATATTTTTATATGTTATTTATACACCCCTTATAGAACTGTGACAGTTCTGGGGGAATCATGTCTTATATTCGGAAAACACCATAAATGGATCCAAACTGTCAAAATACATTTCACACTAACATAACTTTATATTGTATCATGTTTATTTGAAAATTCCAAGCATATAAAGACAATAAAAGAATGTGGAAATGAATATCGGTGTCTATGGGGAAAACAGGGAGACAATGAAGTAAACTGGACCACTGTAACTATAACTGACGCTAGGAAAACCGTATGGATAAAACTGAGCAAAATAATAGAGCTTTCATAAAATACAGCTTATCAAAGGCTATAGAGTCAGCAGTCTTAAAATAGGAACCCCGGATACATTCATTCTTTCAGAGCTGTAGCTATTTTTTTGTTCTTGAAACTGAAACACTATTATCATTTAAGCCCACTGAAACAAATGATAGATATGGTAGCGGATGCTTTTAAAACTCACATTTTAAAGAACAGCATTGATTGGGCGTAACTCCTGTGAATGAGACTAAGTGTAACAAGAGAAGCACATAGAACATCTGCTAGTTCATTTCAAGTTATTATTGCTCAACATGGATACTTCGCATTTCGGACGAGACAAAACATTTACTAGAGCTGTCAAAAAGGCAGTTATTTACAGATCTCACTGTTTAAAAATAGGTGTTGGTTTGTAAAGCGATTTGTGACAGGTTTATCCTAATACTTACTGTATTGTGGCAACACATTACAAATTATGAAATAATAGAGAAAACCTGAATTATCACAGAATTCAAACCTCTTGATTGACTAAATTTTCGCCTCGACTACTATCATCACCTAACTAAGATCAGTCTGTCAAAGTGAGGTTTGAAAAAATGAACCTGACGATTGTGTTTTCACCAAGTACAATGCAAACAAAAAGGTCAGAAGTTTACAAAACAATCGTCGAAGCCTATAATAATGTCTGGGTAATATCATATTTAGTTCATAGAAGGAAAAAATAGAGTTTACAGTGAAAAATTTAGCTTATTAGATTACCAAGGACTGAGGTACATGGAACCACATCTCAAAATATGAGCAGTGGATGAAAACACGCTCATAGTTAAAATCAACTGAATCTTCTTCATTTGATCGGATGGTAAGTAATTAAGGTGGATCTCACTGCCTTCATTTTCACATGGGTAAAGCAAATTAATAGAACTTTGTGTCATGTAAGGTATGTGCAGATAGTGAAGGCTGGACTACACTTGGGAATCATACACGAAATTGTCTATGAGTAGTGGTTAGGTTACTACCAAATGTACCTAAAGCCCAAAAACCAACAATATACAGAAAATGTGTACGAATACTAGCAGAACAACTGGGTTCAGGGAGTTTCAAAACAGGCTCTACAAAAGAAGTACAATTGAAAGGAAAGACAATACAAAGTACCTTAGGTAAAGATTAACATTTTTAGCAACCAACCATCCAAGTGCAGGTCTTACAACCCATATCTAGAATTAAACTGCAAACTAGGACTGCTGAAAAGCTTCCCTTTCAGCTACAAACATACCTCAGTGGACCGAGGCTCTACCTCTAGTCCTATTAGGTATCCGTAACACGTTGAAAGCTGATGCTGGATGCACCCCTGCAGAACTCGTCTGTGGGACAACTCTTCACCTACCAGGTGAATTTGTTTCCCCTTCAACTTTCAAACATGTTTCCGACAGGGCATCTTACTTGACTAGACCTACAAACGCAATGCATTCAGTTAGGCCTCCTTCCGCTAGACCTCGAACGACTGATGTCTTCGTTCACTTCAGTTTACAAAAGATACCACATCTGTTCATCCGCCACGAGGCCGTTCATCGACCACTTGAACCGCCCCACGATGGGCCATTCAAGGTGATCAAGCGACACGAGAAATCCCATATAATCGAGCGAAACGGACGTGAAGATACTGTTAGTATCGACCGTTTGAAACCAGCTCATTTCGAAGTCAAGCCCACCATAAGTCACGTGTTATCTCGCTACAGCCAACCGAAGGACAGCTCAAATTCTTGACGATGTGCCTGGTAATACACAGTTACAACAGCTATCGGCGCAACAGAAAAAACGGTCAGGCCGAACCGTCAGGTTCCCGGAGTATTTGAAGTCGTATTCAACATAGTGGTGTGAAATAAGATGTGCCAACGACGTATATTTTTTAATAATTTCAAAGTTCTTTTCGGGGCACCATTTTTCTTATTTACCGGCAATGCGAGAATCCTCGTACATTTTGCCTTTTATGTCAATTTTTTACTACCACCACGTAATGAAACATTTTTTTAAAAAGACAATAAGCGTGAACTTTATTTCGATGTATATATATATATATATATATATATATATATATATATATATATATCGGCAATTCCCATTTTTACGAAACGTTTTCGTGGTATTAAAGACTTTTATTTATATTCCAGGTGCAACGAGCACTGGACGGAACGTCAAAGTAAACTGAGGACCGCGATCGACGTACAATTCAATTTATCGTATTTTATTTCTCACTTGCCACGACACCCTAGAATAAATTCAGACAACCATGAGCCACTTCTCGCGGTGAACTCATCGGAAGGGTTTTGCCAGTGGAGAAACCACTGGGTTTTACTTCCGGCTGGTATCGTCTTAGGGTCATCACGAACTCACTAAGAGGGGAGTGATCTGTAGCGTCACACACTTCCCCAAAATCAATAGCCTAGGATTTGACGAGATTCAACATTGATGCTGACCTTGGTAGTTTAACTGGACTCGCTAAGCTGAAGGTATCCGATCAAGCACCCTCGCCATTTGGCACGCTGTCGTGTTACGTAGCACTGCTCGTAACCGACTCTCTAGCCAGTTAGTTGGAACGCATCGGTTTCTTGGCACAACCACCCAAGCATACCATTCCATCCAACCACCCTATTGCGTTCTTCCTTGATCTCGTATTCGCGGGCATATAACGAGTCGGATTAAATAGTGATTGGCCTTTGCGTCTGTCAAGTTCGAACCAGGACAATTCCCAAAGTTTCATGTGATTAAGAAATCTGTACAAAGTGGTACTTGTTGCTAACCAAACAGTTTCTGCAGTCACAGATCATGTTTTCCCACTAAACATGACTGACTTTAAATTAAAACCCAAAATATTTAATGCTATTATGCAACCGTCTGACTCAATACGGATGAAGTGGATCTAAACCTTACACACAGACTATGAACTAGAGGAACATAAGCAGCTGGATCATCGGTCTCTGTTCATGGACCCTCAGTACACAATCTGTGTTTCCAGCGAACTCGCTTTCAGGATAAATTCCTGTTTTCTAACCAATACCTTCAACATTGGAGTTTACATAACAAACATGTTGGATCGGTTTTAACCGTTGTATTTCTAAATGTATGAAGTGTGTCGACCAAAAGGAGGAAAGTAAAGAGAGAAATGAGGAGAAGTGAAAGGTGTTGAAACAAAGCGAGAAGAACAGAAAGGTTTCTTCCATTTTCCATGCGTTTTCCGTACGATTGTCACTCCGACTCCTAATTCTGCGGTATGCGTCTTCTCTGTTTCCCGGTAGCATTTACTTCAGGCGCACTTCGGAAGCTTCTAGCAGAAAACCTAAAAACCTAAAGATCCGCAATATTTTTCCCAAAATTGTCAAAGGTCCCTATGGGGACCAATTGGGAACCTATACGTTTCCAAAGTCTCAGCAATGCACTCAAAATTTGTGGAAAATCGAGTAACCTCCATTTGCAAAGCCGTGTTTTTCAATATTCTCCGAAGTAGCCTATTTTGCAAACGGACACGCTTACACACTTAAAAGTATTTATACAAAAAACCAAAAGTTTTGAAAAGGCGCCACAGTTGTTGCACTTTAATCCATCAACCCACAATAAACTTAGTAACAGCGAAAAAATGCACAAATAAAAGGCTAAAAATCATAAAAAGGGTTAAACGCCACAAAATTACCTCGATTAGCTGCCATCAATTTTTTGATGCGTCGTCTACATGTATTTTCATGTGAGGTAGCATCTGATTTTAAGTAGCACCGCAGTAGAGGGAACCGTTGACAGGTTTGTAGGAGTGGCGATATATGTCTTCTAGCAAGAAAGATGATGGGTGACATTCCAAAGGTCAATCCTCTATAAGTAAATAGTTCGAATATCCACCAAGGCCATTAATGACGGCATATGCTTTCGCGGTATCTCTTTGACCTAATAAAACAATGGCTTGTGATAAAAAATGCCCCTTATGGGATAGTTTATGCGTTGAACCTTTCACAGAATATTTTATTCCATATCCTTTTTACTTCAGATATGCTCCTGTAAATAGCCAGAATGAGATTTCGTTCATTGTGGTTGTTGGCAAGTCCAACTTCAAACTTCGTGTTGTAGAATTAGTGAACGGCGGTTCCTTGGGTTTTACGTCTGTCTTGCTGAAATACGTTCTGAGTTTGGAATGGTCACAATTACCTTCCCGGTCCTGAAAAACCTGAAAGGAGATAGATACGATTATTAATTAATGTGGTCTTAAGGTAGTGTTACTACATTCGATCTGGGGAAAGCTCCTCGAGCACAGCCCGTCGGTACCGTAGGACACGTGGTGCGCATCCAACCTCCTTTTAAAAGTACCAAGGGATGGGGCTGTAACAACTGCTGAAGTTAGGGAGTTCCACAGTTTACAAACTCTAACTGCAAATGAGTAATCACGGACCTCTGTACGTGCTTTATTCTTAACGGGTGACCCCTCAAGTCGCGTTTCTGACTAAAGCTTGAAAGGGTTCTGTTAGGATGGAGAAGTTTTAGGCAATGCGCTACTTCATGTTCACATCCCATCTGATCCCCCGGTATTGTACTGAGTGCAGCTGAAGAGCAACTAAGCTGTCTGGGTACGGTTTGTGCCGTAACCCAATCACTTTCTTTGTAGCTCTTCTCTGTACCCGTTCTAGGGTGGCAATGTCCTTTTCCAAGTATGGAAACATTACAAGCTAATTTTTTTCCAAATGCAGGCGAATGTACAAAGCGTACACTGTAGTGAAAAGAGGAGTTAGACGCACTAAGGTTCGCGAGAGAAACCCCAGGATCCCATAAGCCCTATTGGCTGCAAGGCGACAGTAAACAGAGGCTCCTAGTGTATCATTTAGTGTAACTCCCAGGTCTTGTTCCATGTTACAGTGACAGATATTTATTTCACCCAGAGAGTAAGAACTGGGACTGCATTTATGTTTGTCAACTATCATAATTCTACACTTCTTCGAGTTGAGAGGAAGCAGGTTTCCTGCAGTCCAATTAAGGATTTTCGTAAGGTCCTCCTGGAACATCGAAATATCCGTTGGCTCCTGTACTTCCCTCAAAATCTTCAGGTCACCGGCATATAATGGTGAATACGAATTAAGGACCCCTGATAGGACACTGATAGATGCAAGAAACAGTAGTGGGCCCGTATAGAACCTTGGGGGACACCAGTCAGCATCGGGAACCAATTAAATAGAGAGGAGCCAAATCCAACCCCTCAATGGGGTTAGGTTTCAGGTATGCTTGATGCATACACCACTTCACGGCCCCACAAGTGATTTTCATCTCAAACCACGAAATTCATTGCCAGATAGAAAATCGTCCGGACTGCATAAGTGCCACCAAGTGTGACCAAAACAAATCCACAAACTTGTCATGAACTATGGCGCCCAGGGTAAAAAACGTATCTTATCCCTTTCTAAACGACATTTTACTTATTTCCACACTTTGTGTAACAGGGTTCGTCATTTGATGTAATTTATGTTGTTTATTCCTGTGGAAATTACCGGTTGTTGCAACTGTGGATGTTTCTCCAACAATGCTTGGTAGGACGCGTCACCTGATTGTTTGGTTCTAACGATGGCTAAACTCGGACCTACATAGGTGGTGCCACCAATGGATAACTTTGTGTTGTTATCTATCAGACGTCGATGGCGAGCATCTACGAGTAAGTAGTGATGCTTTAGTAAATCTATACCAATGGTGGGCATAGAAACGTCAGCCAGGAGGAAAATCCAGTGAATGGGTTCGCGTAAACCTAAGTTAAGGCAGGCATACCATCTCCCGGATGTCACGATTGCCTCGACGTTGGCTGCTTGGCGATTGAAGGATTGGTCATGATGACACTCCTTTGTCGGTGCAGAAAGAACGCTAACTTCTGCGCCAGTGTCGATGAGGTGGCGAACTTTCGTTTTTGTATCGGTGACGTAGAGCAAACGGCTGTCCCCTCCGGCTACGGTTGCCGTGAACAAGTGCCGGCGTGGCAGTTTCACGAGTTTGTGTCCTTGTTACAACTGCATGGCTTCCGGAATTTTCTGGCTTCGTCCCTGTAAGCATTATGAAACCAGCATCATTTTGGGTTTTCCACCCTGTTGAGTTCAGTTTTGGGACAACCGCGCGAGTTGCTGCGATGCGCTAGGATGCGTTTCTGTGAAGTGCTACGCGAACTAGGACTCCGGGACAGTAGCAACTGTTTGATAGAGTTGCACAGCTTGGTCACCTCTGAATCCTGGCTTTCTGGTTTGTCGCAGACAGAATATACATTGGAGACGGGTCTGCTAGGGATCTCCAGTATTTTATCTGCTGAGGTTGCCCAGGTCATCGAGTGGGACTGACTGTAGTGTTGCCAACACGGTCTGCACCAGTTGTGGTAGTTTCGAGAGAAGTAGTTCTCGGAAAAGGCCACTTTCGAATGTTCGTGCGCCTATTATTTCTCGCATGCGTGCGAGGACTTCAGTGGCTGGGTGGCTGCCTGGCTCTATGTTACTGAGCAGTTCGTCTAGGTGCTGGCGATCTGTGAGATCGCTGTTATTCAAGAGTGCGGCTTTGAGAAGTGCATAAGGATCACTTGCTTCGGGACTAAACATATGCGCTGTAATATGCCTGTTTAATTTCCGCGGTAGTGAACTTATGAAGGCAAGAAATCGAGAATGAGGATCTGAGATGCCCTGTTCTCGAAAATCTGCCTCGGCATACAGAAACCATGTTTCTGCATTGTCTGGCCAATATGGCACAAGTTGGATAGTGTTCGTAGTCGGCTTAACACAAATAAGCTTGGGAGTGTGGTCGGACATGAGAAAGAGTTGTATGTGGATATTTAATGGTTATCAAAATGAAAGCAATATACAAATATAAACTGGAACGGGCTCACCAATTCAATATTTGTTATCAGTCAGGATATGTGATCAGGTCGGGCTCACCAATTCAGGAATTGTCCTGGTGCGAACTTGATAGACGCAAAGGCCAATCACTAATTATTCCGACTCGTTATATGCCCACGAATACGAGATCAAGGAAGAACGCAATAGGGTGGTTGGATGGAATGGTATGCTTGGGTGGTTGTGCCAAGAAACCGATGCGTTCCAACTAACTGGCTAGAGAGTCGGTTACGAGCAGTTCAACATTAATCTTTTCTTTGTAACCGTTCACAAGTTGTCAAAAGATGAGTCTCAGTTTTCTAAACGTAGGCGCATTACTTTTGGTGTAGTTCAGGGTGGCGTGCTCTCTCCACGTCTGTTCACCCCTCAAGTTAGTGACTTCTGCAAGTGCAAGGCGGTTTTGCTCACTGACTATCTGAAGGTTGCTTAGTCGTTCTCAAGTGACAACCTGCCCTACTTCCGAAGGTTAGCACAGAGCGAACTTGACCTAGTAACTACCTTGTCCACCACACGGAACCTCCAATTCAACCTAGGTACGTGAGGCCGTGTATGCTTTGTGGCACCATTCACTCGTCTACAATTGTCTCTGCAAGCTGTGATGCTACCTGGTTTCTATAGCGTCCTTGACTCAGAGCGCCGTTACTCTAACGATCTTACATTCTCTGAACGTGTTGCTACACAAACCTGTAAGTCCAGAATACTACCAGGCTGTATTATTCGTAACTTTTACTGCCACAAAGCCAAGCTTACCTCCGAACCCTGTTGGAATTATTACTATTATCTGTCCCTTGGGTTCCTAATAGAACATACGGTTTCACTAGCGCATCTCCAGTGCACTCTGTTTTCTGCAATCTTTTTAATCTGGTTCCATGACAGCCCAGAACCTCTCATTTCTTCCTCGCACCATCTCCTCCATGTCACCCTCGCCTTCCAGACCCAACTCGTAGCTTCCCATCTAGGTTCCGCCAGAGTGACTGGCCTGATGCGTGATGTCCCCGAATGGCCTTTTCATTGCATGCCCAATCCATCTCCACTTTCTTCTGCATATTTGTTTGGCGATATGTTCTTGGTTGGTTCCTCACCAGCCAGAGTTACTTGTGGCTTATTCTTTCTCGTCATCTGATCTTCAGTAACACGTGAGCGTGGGCAGCTGTTGATGAGTGTCTGTAGTTTGTTGGAAATGCTTTCCGTAACCCGCCAAGCTACTGCACCATCACATAGAAGCACTGACTTGACACTGGTGCTGAAAATCGGGACCTTGTTCTTCATACTGGGTGCAGCAGATCTCCACGCTGGTTTCGGATTAATGAAAGCCGGTCCTGCTGTGTTTCCTATCCTGTCTTTGATGTCGTCGTCTGTGCCACCTGCGGTTGAAACAGTGCTGCCTAGATAGGTGAAAGAGGCTAATTTCTCTAAGTTTCCCCCGCTGATGGTGATTGGAGCTTGTTGGTGGTAGTGATGGTGTTGGTTGGGTCTCTTCATCACCTCTGTCTTCCCTACGTTCACTTGAATGCCCGTCTTTGCGGCCTCGCCTCTTGTGTCAACTTGTTAATTTTCACCAGTGGATCTTCAAGTTCGTGTGACATCAGACACGAGTCATCGGCGAAATCCAAATCTCCTGGGATCATTTCCCCAGTCCAGCCAGTGCATCCCCCTCTTCTCACTCCTCACTGTTTGTTGCATGATCCAGTCCAGTTGACCATAATCAGGAAGATCATGGGTGATAGTGGACAGCTTTGTTTTACTCATGTCTTCACTTCGATTCGAAGGCATCACTGAGCTTTCCATTGTGAATTACTTGTCATGTGGAGTCT